AAATAAACCACCCGTGCTGCTAATTCTTTCTCATCTTTCCCCCCAATGGAAGATACAAGATATTCAACTATATTGCCACAGGTTGTGAAGATTGTAAGGACAGTTGTAAAGTTTCATCCGTTATTGATAATAACTAGTCTTATATGTCAGCCAATCTTTCTGCAAGATTGGGTTGAAGAGAAGGTGAGCAATCAATGGAAATTACTCAAGGTGCATTACCAATCAACAATGAGAGCTCTGTTGGATCCAATTACTGAAAAAATGAAGAATCTATCAGAAGCCCTCCAGATGCATCTTAACCATGAAGCAAAAAAGGGTCAGCCAAAGACCAAACTAATAGGTAAAATTGCCTTATTCTCTGCCACGTTTCTTCTACTAGATACAGAAATAAGTTTCAAATATGATGAAAGAGGGATCAAAACAGTGTTATTGTTGCATTTTGGACTTACGTTGCTAACATATTCGAAGCTTTGGAGTCAACTTGGAATTCTCCGTGGGAGGTGCAGCTGTGTGGCAAATTCAATATCAAACTTCACCTTCTTTATTCTAGCAATTGTTTTTGCAAAATTTTACGACAATTCCTTGAGGAACCTTAGTTCCATGTTGTTCATTGCAATTTATTTTCTATGTCTATTGGTGGTATTACAACCACAAACAGACCTCGGATTGTTTAGTTTCATCATTGGAGTCATTGGATCCATTACTTCTAACCGCTTCGAGTTCACATTTCCCACATGGATAATTGCTTCCATCTGTTTTGTATTGTTCAGTTTCAAAAGTTGGTTAGATAAGTACTGGTTAGATTTGAAAGAAGATCAGTCACTAACCTTTACAAATACCACAACCAGAAGCACCAGCTTGTTTTTAACTCTATCATCAACTGCTAAATATGTCATAGGACCCATCTTTACGTTTTATGTTGTCAAATCTCCCTTGTCCGATTATAAAGCATGGTTATTTAGGGCAATTATTAGTGTGTTGTGGACTTTCCGCTTCTATAAGTTTTATCCCAAAGATACCTCACTGCCTTCTATAAATACCAAAAGAGTCAACAGTTTGATTTTGGCCATTGTAAATGTTGCACAAGGTATTTTCGTGTTTGGTCTTGCCACATCTTTCGTGCTGAATTATAAAGAGTGGTTATTTGTAGTAATCAATTATGTGGTTTTTTGTTTTTGGTTACAAAGCCTTTTCCCCAAAGATCTGTCACCGTCCTCTACAAATACTCAAAGAATCACTAATACGGTTTTGTCTTTGTTATCTGTTGCTAAATATGGTATTATGGTGTTGGTTGGTTTGGAACCTCGCTTGTACTACAGAGACTGGTTAGTTATGGTAACTTGTTATGTGCTTTGGTGGATTCGGTTAGGAACGTTCTTTCCCAAAGATCTATTACAATTTTCTACCATAGTTGAATTTAAAGCTATGCAGTGGTGGGCAATGATGGTAAATTCCATGGTTTCAGAAGTCACATATTGGATGATAATTGTCTACAAGGACGCCTAATAAAGTTGTTGGATAGTTGAAATTTTTTATATTAATTCTTGTATTATTCTCTTTTTCAAGTATATGCTTACCAAAAAAATGAAGTGCCAATGGAGGGTGAGTCCACTTTAGTGGGCCTTTAATAGGGATCCTCCCGTTCATCAATAGTTAGAAAAAAATGCGATTCATGGATGTCAAACTAAAAAACAGCATTCTATATGTTTATATGTCTAGCATCTTTAATAAAACCAATCAATCATTTGCAATTTTTAGTCATTTGCATTTTTACAGTTTGAATTTATTGCAATTGGCCTTTTGTTATATAGATATCAAATGGTACCCTTCATCTTATTCATATATATTAATAAATGGATACTGTACGATTAACTCACATGTCTTGCACGAAATTTACTTCCTCTCTCCCAATTAACTCACATGTCTAGTATCTTTACTAAAACCAATCAATTTAGTTCCTCCGCAGCATGTATAGAGGTGATTTTTTTCTCAAAAAATTTTGCAGAGAGTTTCTTCTACCTCACAAAATCATCGTGAGAAACTGTAAGTTAACAAAAAAAATTATAAATTATCTTTTTATAAATTATAATAAACACAAATATCTCAATCCTCAAACTCCCAAATTCTAATTACAAACACTTTTAACTCTTGTATCTCTCATTTTTACTACTTTAGTTCTTCTTGACCTCACCTCTTTATTTAATGGGTTTTTCTTAATTTGAATTTAACTTACTTTATTTATTTATTTATTTTATAGGTAAAGCT